ACCCTGAAATCAAAAGAACAAGATCTAAGATGCAGAGGAGAAAAACAAGCAGGACACAGGAGGGCTGGGGAGGAAGTTTGAACAGCTAATTAGCAGCAGTGATTCTAATTCAATCCTAATTTAGCTGTACATTGAGTTCTCAGGGCAGCAAAAGTAAGCAACAGCTAAAGACTTGCAGATCCTCCCTTGAACATCTTCCCCTATGGAAATCAGTCCTGCACATGACACCAAGATCAAAGTTCCCACCTCTGACAAATAGAAGGATTCAAATGTTATTAAAAAAGATGAAAATCTCAAATTTCTAAACGCCACTCATCTTGTAAAACTTCAAAGTAGCCCCTGGATCAGTCAGGAGGGGAGATGGGGGGGGGAGAGAGAGTTCAGCTCTGTCGTGTGCGTTTAATTCTCCGATTTGAAATTTGAAATGCGTTGTGTGGGTCTGAAATGCACACGCAGGGCCACTGCAGTCATTTACAGTGAGGGCCACAATCATCACAGATGGTTTTGTGAAAGAATCCCAAGCTGTCTGCTACCAGCTGACACACATTTTATAGCGCTGGAGACAAAGAAAAGCTCAGGCCCAGCACATTGAAAACCAGAGAAGGAAACAGCCCTGCCCAAAACACATTATTTTTTAATTTTTTTTTTCCAAAAGGTAAAGACCAACTTTGCTATCCCTGAAAGATTTGTATGCAATTATCTGGTAAGTTCCAGTGAATAGGATATTAAAGAATTCGAAACTGTGAACAATTAACTTACAGCAAGATTTACATAAAACTCCTCCAGTAATTAGCAGCAAATAGAGGCAGATAAGCCCTGCAATTTTATGGGTGTTAGTGTGGAAAAAGTAATTTGCAATTCATAATGCAGGTCAGACACAGATGTTTCAGCTGATTGCTGAGCCAGTGAACAGAAGCCCTTGTCAACATCATCTGCAAAAAGTGCCCTGTGCGATCTCTGAGAGCTCCAAACCAAGGCCAAACCAGGGGGATAAGCACATAAATTTGGAAACGGGCTGATGGGAGGAAAGAGCCTAAAATTTGAAGCAATGTATCTTCTCCCTACTGCCTCCAATCCGTGTGTCTGCCTCAGCTGAATTAAATGGGTTTATAATGCATTATGTCATTTGCTGCTGAGAGCAGAGTCTGCAAAAGCCACGTTGCTGCAGCACACACAGAAGGCTCCACGGTGCTAATTCTCTGAAATAATCAATTTAAGCCACACATCTAAATTTTGCTCTGAGATCCTTGCAGTAGAAGCATCCTCTGTTAGAGGCCTGGCTCAGACTGATCCTCGTGGGTGAAGTTCCTGGGCTGGCCAGCAACCTACACTGCCACAGGAACTGTGTTGATGAATCAGATTAATTCTTAAAATTCTTAATATTAATTCTTAAAATTTCAGAGATTGTAATGTTTCTCTGAAGTGAAAATAGTAACAGCCCCAGAATTAAAATATAACATTGAACTTGTGTGTGTGTGTACATAGATATGGTCTTGTTCTGATCTTCATATTCTCCTGTTTTTCAGCTGGAGAACAGAAAAGCCATATATTTTCAAGTCTCATTTTATTTAAGGAGCTGGGAAAAGAATTCAGCTCTCAACCAGAGACAAAATACCCTTGGGGGTTTGGTTGGGAGAGGGAAGAGGTTAAAGAGGTTAATGCCTTATTGATGTGGAATAGTTTGGTGTTGGGGGACTGCTTTTGCTTCCACTCCAGGAACGTTGGCCCTTGTTGGAACAACCTGAGTCACATTTTGCTGCACAGAAGAGCCCAAATGGTGTCTAGGAGTCAGAATGAATCACTGGTGTACTGAACCAACAATGCAAAGATAAATGTTTTAACTAGACCACACAGATAAAAACAAACACCACCGGACTGGGAAGAAGAGAGCCAGGTCAGGGACGCAGAAGACAATCCAGGTATGATCAGCCTGTTGTCTAAATTAATATTTACCAGCTCAGCAGCTCTGGGGAAAGGGGAAGAAACAGGGAAGAGAATGACACTGAGGAGCAAACACAGTGCAGGTGCTGCACACCGTGGAGGAGGAGGAGGAAAGGGGTTCTCAGGATTAATTCGCTCTCCTGATCAGAGCTACTATTAATTTGCTTTTCCAACAGCAGCTGCTCTCAGGCCACGGCCACACAAGTGCCACCCCCCCAGCCCATTTCACGAGAGGCTCGTTAATCACACATGAGGTCCCTTTTTGTCCCCTCCATTCCCATACTGTCAGAGCCCCACGCTACAGCCCTCAGTAATCCCTGGAGCAGGGACAAAAACAGCACCACCAGCACCCAGGGCTCAGGCGTGCCCTCAAAGCAGCAGATTCAGCAGCACTGAGCCCTTCAGCCAAATCCAGCCCCTCTCCAAGGGAACATCCCACACCAGTGGCCACCAGGATGGATGCTTAGCCACGGCCTGGAGGGGTTAACAGTTCCCACACCAGGATGGACACCAGCCAACCCCCTCATTAAGGAAGAACTTTGTGCTGCCTTCAGATGGACCATCAGGCCTCACAGACCACGGCTGTTTGTTTGTTGGTTTAAACATTAATTTGATTCCCTGATGCCAGTGGATTTTATTCCTTTGACAACCGATTTACTCCTCCACGAAGCACAACACGTGGGGATCACCCCCTTTTTCGTGGAGGCAAGTGGGGCAGATGCCTGTGGTGCTCACTGCCTTCCCTGAGCACTGCCCAGCAGCACAGCTTCAGGTCAGCTTAACTCTGCTTTAAAACACTCCCCCATCTGCAAACCAGGGCATTCCAGTGCCTGACACCCACACTGCTGGGTGGAAATGCAGTCCTTGGAACAGCTCTGGAAGTCACACTGGTTATCAGTCACCTGCTGATGCTGAGGCAAAAGGTTGGGGCACCTCAACAGGTATAGCAGGTCCCACAGAAACAAACCAAAAAAAAACCCTGCTTTTCCTCCTGAATGCATTTTCCAGGGAGAAGCAGGTCACTTTTAAGAGTACAGAACGAAGGGAGAACGCTCTCCCAGTTTTTCAGACCTCAATTTAATACCAAAATCTAACAAGTGCCTAATACTCCGTGCACGTGTGGGTGCGTGGGAGGACTGAGGTGACGTTCACGCCGTACAAAGCCACGGGGGTTTTTTGGCCTGCCCAACACCTGAGAAGCTGCTGGGACTCCACAGCTGCCAGAGCCTGAGTGCCCTAAAATGCAAAGCAATCCTCCCATGAGGAGCATTTCCAGCTGCTCAGATCCCAGCCCCACAATCCACAAGGCATCCCTTGCCTAAGAACAATCTCCCAGTCAAACTGATGTTTACAGGATCCATTGCACTTCCCTCACACAACAATGGATTGCACACACACACACACACACACACTCTGCTGCAGGAACCAGCATGCAATCAATACTGTATTTGATTTTAGACTGAAAGGCCACGTAATCCTGTCTACAAGAAGCCAGGCTTAGAAACTTTAAGCTACCCAGCAGGATTATATGCAAATTCCCTCATCCTGTCTAACTTCAGCAACTGAAGTCTAAAATATTTCAGACCATGGTCTAAGATACTAAAATATTTTAGGGGTCCAGGCTGTGAATGGGAGAGGAAGATCTTCATCTTCTAAAATCAGTATAGGACTGGAGAAATAGGTGGAGGCAGAGCAGCTCATTCCAGCTGAGAATGCCAACAGCCCCAGCTGTGCAGGTGGAAAAAACTCTAGCAAACCTACTTTATTACTACTCCTTTCTTGTGGACCTCGATCCTACCAGAAATAGGAAGGTTGCAAACAAACATCCAAACATTTAATTTACCCAGTGCTGAAAGGCTGCCCCACATCTCCAGTTACTTCAGCAGAGTTCTCATACCATGGCATTATGTTTCTAACCTCTCACTTATGGAGCCAAGCTCTTAATAAAAATACATTTCATGCTCGAGACAAACTTGAGTTTTGGGGAAATGGGCAACTCTTCTCGTCCTCTATTGTGTCCCTCTACCCAAGACTGTAAGGTCAGCTTGAAAGAGGGTATTAAAATCACAGACTACGTCCCAAATTTGGTGTTGAAATATGAAATACTAGTGCTCTCTTCTCTCCCTCAAGGTGCACAACCACTTAATAAACCTTGACAGGGTTAAACCTCCGGTCCCCAGGTGGAGAAAAGTGTGTATGACTTGACCAAATTTATCCAGGGGTTTATCTGTGCCTCAAACATCACCTGAAGGTGGAAATGATTGCATTTCACAGAGCAACCCTGGGGAACACCAGGCTTTTATGGCATCTCCATTAAGTAGAAAGTAACAAGTTTAAAGAAGGAGGCACGTGGAGAAGGGACCAAGCACACAGCTTGTTCACACCCAGCTCGGCACCTGCTTGTGAATGGGAAGCAACCAAAAGCTGTGCAACACTTAGGAGATGGTAATTAATCACTCCAGTTAGCTGACAAACAAACATCACGGCATGCTGGAGACATCAGCACATTAAAAACAGGCAAGAGAAGGAATAAGGGAGATGGGATCCCAGCAGGGCTCGGTAACATCTGGATCACTGACTCCCTCCATAACTGGGCAAAATTACTTCCAGCCCAAATTCCTCTGCCCCTGTTTATTTTTCCAAGGCTATAAATTGTTGTGTCTTTTTCCTGAATGCAAACACAATGTTTAAACCTCATTTAAACCTTCCAGGCACTACCACAATGCCAGGGCAATGAAATTTAAACAACACAACCAAAACCCCCTAGAATATCACATTCATCAGTTTTGGAATAAATTGTTTTGGCTGTTTAGTTAAAGGATTAAAACTGTTTTCATGTTTAAATCATGTTTCAACCCTGCAGACTTTGTGGGTTTCACTCTTATTTTTAAAATAGATTACAGGATGTTATAGATATAATTAAAAACTAAGCTTTTGTTCTCATGTAATTTGAGATTCAAGACCCTTCTAAAAATCAGGATCCAGGTACCAACTCTGCTGCTACTGTACATATTGCATCAAACAGCACAGATTTATTACAGACACATGAGCCAACATACCCAGGACACCACTCTTCCATTGAAGCAAGGGAGCTTTGCATTGTCATCTGAGATCTCCTCCTTTACCACCCTGGAAAAAAAAAAATAGGAAAAAAATCAGGAGTTTGAAATGACATAAGATTAGAAGTGGTTTTCTCAAAAAGCCAACCTGAAGTCCAGTCAAACTCCATAAAAATGTGTGGATCCACAACCACGTTTTCCTTTATTTATGTTTTTGCCTTACTTTGTGTAAAGAAAAAACCACCACAGCCACAAAGCAACTGAAACATGGAGGGGGGAAAACTGGTCAGGAAGGAGAAGACTGCAGAGCAAATGGGCAGTTTCTTTCCAACTTACTTTTGGAAAACTGCAAATAAATAACTCCACCACTAATACCTGCATTTGCACATATTTTAAGAGGCAATGAACACCACCTTCTTTTCTCCACACTTATTTGCATTGTTAATGCCTGGCAGCGCAATATTAGGCAGTTCTTCACCCCTTTCCTATTATTGGAAAGAAAAACATCTTAAAATATTCATTTAACTCCTAAAGAATCCGTCCTCCCTTCACCTTTTGGCAGCAGGAATCAGATCACATGGTTCCATTTATTGGTTTTAGTCATTTATACTTGGACTCTGAGGAGACAATTAAGAGTAAACTCCACTGAAAGCAACAAAATACCCAGGGTTTTAAAAACCTCTGACAATTCAGCAAAGCTCTCAGACCTGTAATTCTGGAAAGCTGCAAAGCCTGTGTGCAGGCAGAGGATTTAGACACTTGCCTGGGATCTCCAGCCCCAGTGGATGGACTCAAATTCAGACATTACCTTTTGATCTTCATGGAGTCCTGCAGAGAACACTCCCTCAGCAGAGCCCCAAATGCTGAGTCAGCAAAGAAAGACACTGCAATAATTTTATCTTGACAGCTGTAGGTTTTAAATGGCAGCATCTTCCCCCTACCCCCCCATAAGGAAATGACACTTATGGCACCTCAGGAATCACATGGAGGATTTCTGCACCAAGCTCCAAGATTTAGGCAAAAATCAGGCATTAAAACCACACTGACAGAAAAGGCTTGGGGGACTTTCTCAGAAGGAGCTCCCTGCAATACTGCACTGACTGGTTCAGTTGTCCTCGTGATGGAAAACGAGCTCCTGGACTCGCCACCGACAAACCAACGAGCTCCATCACAGCCCCAGCCTCTGCTGCAGCTGAAGGGAACAACTTCCAGATCTGTTGCAACTTGAACTACTAAATATAGCCCTGAGCTATGAGGCAAGAGAATGACAGACTGTAATTCCCAGCTTGCTTTGGGCAGCAATCAACAGCGCCAAGAACATCAAAGACAGCAGCAGCCACTAATTTCAAATATCGCTGTTTTACAAATCATTATTTGTAGTGAAGAGGCAGCTCCTTTCAGTTCTCAGCAAGGAGAGAAGCAATGGAGAGGAGGCAAGAAAGGAACAGGAATGGTTGCAGCAAATGCTTCAGTCTGAGAGCAGCTTTGTGTTTGTCCATAAAAACCTGGGAGCCAGGGCAGGGGGAGACACCTGCCTTTGTCTGGTCTTGGAACACACAGTCCATTAGGAACTGATATCCTGAATATCAGGGTGGGTAAAGCCCTAAATAACGGGTTCACAACCCAGAGCCAGCCAAAGGCAGTGTGGAAAAGAAGAGGGGATGCATTTCATCTGCCAGAGAGAGCTCCTGAGAGGTGAAGAAGTCCACTGGCATTGGATGTGATCGACTGTGGAGACACATCACCAGCGCCCTCAGTGTGATTGTTAACAGGCTTACTGTCTGGTACCAAGACCAAAGACCATCTGATACCAAGAAACACATCCCCTGCTCTCCCAGAGTGAAAGCTTCCCTTCAGAAAAGGAGACAGTTGTTTCCCAGGTCACATCCTGCCTCTGTAATTGCTGGGGGGGGTGGGACACACACGGTCCCCCTCCCAGCACACACAGTCTCCCACCCAGCTGAGGTGAGGAGCCACTCTGGGTCAGGGAGAAGAGAGCAAATAAACACCTGTCTGTCCACAAAGCCACTACTGAGTGAAAAAAAAAAACAACAAAGGTGACACAACAAAACAGCCACTTCCAGCTCAGCCGGGTCACCAACCCCTCTGTGTTCCACCTGTACACGGTTCTCTCTTGAAAAGGGGAGGGAGGGGAGACTCTGCCAGCACACCAACTATTTAAGAGATTTCTTTTTCTTCCCTGTTCAGAGACTTGAGGCGCTTTCCTTTTCCCTGCACTCCAGGAAAAACCTCGATGCACCAGACACGAGATCCTTCAGTTCCTCCTCTTCGAATGCACCTACCAGGTAAAAGGGAGGTAAAAGAAGACCACGGGGGAACAGCTCACCCAAGGTCACTCAGAACATCAGAGACAGAGCATGAGAAAGACCCCACACTCTTGAATAGCCCCCAAGCAGCTGCCCTACATCCCCAGCAAGCCCCCCACTACCACACCTCCCATCTGAGGGGATCTGCAGAGAAGGGTGTGGATATGTGGGGAAGGGGAGGAGGGAGCAGTTCCAGGAGCTCACATCCTCTGCTTTATTTGACTTAGAGGAGATTTAACAACTAATTACTAAATGAAACAATCACTGCTGGTAACAGCCCCTCCTTCCTCTCGCTTCCTGGAATTGTGTCTGGATCCTCTGGCTTTCCTACCACCCTGCTCTGCACAAAAAGGTGTTTGTGCATTTACCCACCCCAGCCCTGTTCACCCTCTCACCTGTTTCTGCGACAGGTCACGCTCCTGCTCACCTTCCCAGTACCCTGACTCCTTGTTTTCCTCCAAAGAGCTGGGAAAACCAGGATTGTTTAGCTTCACCCTGTCTCTCATCCTTCTGCCAAGCCGTTTGCCTCAGAATATCCGCTGATCCCACATTAACTGGGATGTACAGGTGAGCCCCACAAGCTCCTGATGACTGGGATTCACGAGCATTTAGGTAGTTGCCCATTAAGCCCTGGGTTTGTTAGTGTTGCTCACACTTGCATTTTGATTGCATCATGCATGTCTGTGACAGACTGCACCTCCACCACCAGCTGGAGGATTTTTCTTGGAAAATGAGCTTAACAAGTAAATTTCCCTTTCCAGTTGCAGGCCCAGTCCTCCAAGATCACAGCCAGGGGAGATGCAGGGTTGACACAGCAGTGTGGCCCTGCAGATTCCTTGCAGGTTAATGTCTGCCATGACACAAAGCGAGCATCCTAATTTAATTCAGCACCAGATTAATCACATCTCATCACTGGGATCATAATCAAGTCTTTCCTTAACTCTAATTGTCCTTTACTGACGGGAGAAGGGGAGAGAAGCTTCATTCCTTACTGACTTGCTTGGGGATCCTCAGAGAGAAATCAAAGGAATGAAACCCTTCAAGTACCTTCAGTGACTCCTGCCACCTCAAAGGCAGGTAGGAGATTATTCAGGTGTTGGTTTTGATTCACAGAATCACGTTGCTTGGAAAAGAAATCCAGGGATCATCTGGCCCAAGCTCCTGCTCACAGCAGGTTTGGGTTGCTCAGGGCCATGTCCAGTCAAGCTTTGAGTATCTCCAAGGATGGATATTCCACAACATAATTTGGGCAACTTCTACTGACGGAGCAGCAGTTTTCCAAAAACCTGTTTAAATTAGTAAAACTGTAAGTAATCAGAATTTGGAATCCAAGGCTGCAGAGCTTTGAAACAGTCTTGCTGGAGCTGATTAACACTTCAATTTGAATCTTTAAAAATAAAACCTTGGGCTTTTTGTAGCTGAGGCCAGGACACAGAGAGCCTTTAACCACCCTCCCAGCACAGAGAAAGGAATGGGTATTAAGCCCCTTGCTGAATTTACAGGTGAGGCTTGGCTCGGATGTAGTGGGTTTTTTTCTGGAAAGAAGGAAGAATGGAAAAGAGAAATCCCTCTGCTGAGCAGATAAACACCCCAGTGCAGAGCAGAGTGGAAGGGCTCTGCTCAGCACAAAGGATCTGTGCTGCACGAAAGCCTCACATCTTGCCTGCACCCCACAGAGCTGGTGAGCAGGAACTGTGTGGCAGCACTCCCCTTCCTCCTTCCCTGTGGAAGGCTCGTGCCAATCACTCCTCAAAATACCACAGTGGAGCCAGCATTCTCTCTTTTTTTGGGTTGTTATTCCCGAACTACTCTGTCAGTGCTGTGCCTTTCCATATAAGCACTGCTGTGTGCCAGCTCCCCCATAAACCTGTCAAAAATGGATATGAGCGTGCTACCCACAATTATGACAGAAATGACACACCCATATCTACAAAAGTGACACAACTGTGGAACAAAACCCTCTTCAAACAAAGACACCCAGCTTCAGTGCACACGAGCTCCTTTTTTTTACAGGTTCTGTAGAAATTTTAGCGAGAAAACGGGAAACGAGGTGTTGGGGAAGTCACCTCTTCCCACACAGGTGACAAGCACATCAAAAAACACCTTCTTTTTCTTCGTTTATATAATTAGCTGCTAGCCTCTGCCTCGTGTTATTCTTCACCCTTGTGAAAACCCAAACACACAGTCCTGGTGATTCTGTCTGCAATTAAAACAGTTAATGCTCCCGTTTATTTACACACCACTTATCCCCTGCCACATCTGATCCTCAGCACCACACTAAACGCTTTTGCCCACGGAACTGCCTCTTCCCTGGTTTTTTCCACCCCTATTCCTGCAGGCACATCCAAGCACTTTGCCCTGCCAGCCTCCTGGAACAGCAGGGATGATTTATCATCTTCCAGGAGAACTGCAGGACACCGGAAAAGTTTTGGCACCTTGGGCCTGGACCAGGTTAGGTGACCTGAGCCTTAAGCACGTGGATGAAGTAAGAACTGCTGTGTTCCCTGAGAGAGAATCAGCCCAAATCTGTCCTTATTCCAAGCATAAAGCTTCACTTTTTATGGCAGTTAAGTTGGGACTCAAGGACAACTAAATTTGTTCGGGCTCTGCCCTGGCACCAACGCGCTGCATGACCTCGAGGAGGGCACCTGGCAAGAAAATTATGGCACCTCCACGTTTGAAAGCTCCTCTGTGAGCATTTAAGACAGACATTCAAGCAGCAGAAAACCTCCTTACTTGGTCA